GTAGAGATGGCGAGTGAGTGCTCTCAGATAGGAATGCAAAGCATTAATTCTATTTACAGCCTTATTTGAATAATTGCAGATTGCTGGTTAGAAGAGAAATGTTGATATCGAAAACTATGTACAGTTTTTCAACAGCTGCTTTGGTAGTACCATCTGGTAGTGAGAAATTGACGTCAGCTATCCTGCCTTTCAAGAAATTTTTCAGTACTTAATAAGGGCAACAGGAACACTAGTGTCTGGGAAATAGATAAGCATTTCCTACACAGCCCATATGCAAGAGTCATGGTTGGCTTTGTGTTTGCAATGGAGGTAAGGTAAAACTAGAGTGAACTTCTTCTTTTCGTAAAACACTGCATGAATTCAGGGGTTGAAGTTTAATCCCACAAACAAGCAAGATGTGCTTTTGCTTGGACTGGGAGGAGGTGTTGTAGCAAATTTCCTTTCTTCGCTTAAAACTGCCAAAGTAAGACACAAAATTTCCCAAATCATCGTTAAAAAGTGTGCAGTTTCAGCTTAAAATGACCAGCATTGAATTGGACCCTACAGTTCGAGATATAGCGGTAAAATGGTTCAATCTCGAAGAAAACGATATGCATAAAGTGATTACGGCTGACGGGGCCCAGTTTGTTAAAGATGAGGCCAAAAAAGGTGCTTTATCTTTTGCAGAGCTATTACTTCGGTCTAGGAATCTTTGTCCAGGTAGAAAGTACAAAGCAATCTTTCTTGATGCGTGCTACACTACTTGCCCGGCAAAGGTGTTTTCAAATCCCGACGTAGTAGAAAGCATTGCAAGTCTTTTGGACAAAGATGGTGGGATTTACTGTAATTTTGCAGCTTTTCTTGAATGTTCTCACAATCTCGAAGAATGAGTTCGTGTATTCATAATATCTACTAGTCGCAAAAATAAATTTCAGGTGTTCTAGCCGTAAACGTTCTCACTGCTCCTTTCAAAAACGAGGAACAAGTTAACAAAATTATGCAATTGTACAAAACACAATTTACGTCATGCTTCACCTTCCTTGTTGGTTTGCAGCATGTGCGCACACGCTCATTCTATCCGAGAGCAACAATGATGAGTATCAATATATGCGTTACAGGTTCTACTGTGTTCTCATCGCTCTGCTTGGACTCTGGAAGAGCAGACGGATTATTTTTTGAAAAATTTAGAAGAAGTTGATAGGCAATGTGGTTTTCACTTTACTTCATAACAGGTTGCCATACTCAGTTACCGTTGTTATTATTTTTTTGTGATTCAATATGAACAATAAATATCTCATTGTTCCAACTTTTCCGAAAAAAAAAAGGAAGTTATACGAACGTGCGATTGGCGAACGACCCTCCCAATCGCTCATCTATAATTCCTTACTTGTGAACGTTTGTCTTTTGAAATGAGAGTGTTATCAACTGATGCTTCTTTGCCTCTGACTCAGAAAGTTTATTATACAATTTGTATACAAGTGAAAGCCGCACGTGCATCTTCATGATCATTCAATGAACAATGAGAAATCTTATTTGCTAGAGTATAATTCACACTGAACACAAATTTGAACTGAAATGTTAAAAAGATTACTAAATAAAAGTAGAATAGTAGTTTGACCTAAAAGTGATTATTTTTGCACTGTCTTCGCTTACTGATAAATTCACATACTTAAAGAGACTTTTCAGCGATTTTTAAACAAATACCTAGATGAATCAAGTTGAATTACCATTCTAAATCTGTCTTTGGCTTGATATCTAATAGACACATTTTTAACTTATTACACTCTCATTGTATACATAGCATTCAATCCTTCATACTGACAGATACCTAGGTGGAGTTGAGCTTTTTAGTGTTAGTTTGGAAATTTTTTGTTTAGCTTCTGTTGTTTTTGCTTGAGTCCGTGCATAACCATTTTGATACATTTAAGCAAGCACTTTACTAAACAGAGAAATTACTAGATGGGAGATCACGAAATTTTGGAAAGTGGTAAACAAATTCAATCGAGATAAAAAACGGC